GGCATGCAAGTTGTTTTTGTATAGTTCTTATAAATCTAATGCCAGAGGGGATGCTATTTTATTAAGTAATAAGTTTGAATTTGAAGTTAATAAAGAAAAGAAAGACTTGACAGGCAACTTCTTAGCTATCGACATTGAATTAAAAAAACATGAATATTACATTAATTACATTATATGGCCCAAACAACTCTGATGACCTTGACTTTTACAATAAATTGACTAATACTATAGATAGCTTTGGTAATGACAGAGTGAGTATTTGTGGAGATTTTTGTGTCCTGATCTGGACTATGATAAAAGTTACAAAAATAAAATAATCCTAAAGCAAGGAAGAAGGTTCAGGAAATATTTGAAAGTTATAATTGAGTGGACATTTATAGAGAGTATCGCCCTAACCACAAAAGATATACTTGGAGAAAATCAAACACAATAAAACAATCAAGGATAGATTTTTTCTTAATTTCAGAAAGTTTATTATCTAGTGTAATGAATTAGGCAATAGGTTCTGGTTATCGGTTTAATGGATTTAAAAGGGCAAAGGCTTATGGAAGCTTAATATGACCAAGATTATTTGGATATAGTTTAAAATGTAATTAAGGAAACTAAATGCAATATTGTCTCCCGATATACAATTTTGAAAACATTGATGAAATCTACAGGTATGTATAGATGACCTTTTATTTCTTGAGACTTTATTGATGAATATTAGAGGTAAAACAATATCACATGCATCCTATAAAGAAAAACCAATCTTATTGAATCTATAAAGGAACAAGAAAAATAAGAGAAAATTAATGTAGGAGAAATAGATAATAAGAAAAAGGAACTGGAAGAGATTTTTTTAGAAAATTTAAAGGGAGTATAGTAAGATCAAGAGCCAAAAGGGAAGAGGACGGGGAGAAATCAACCAGTTATTTTTTTAGTCTTAAAAATATATTTTTTTTCATTTTTTTTCCCCAAAGATACACTTGATGATGGCTCTATTATTACAAAACAAGATGATATTTTAGCCGAGACTAATTCTTTTATGAAAATGTATATAATGCTAGAGAAATCATGGAAGATGTATTTATCTTGAAGCCTTTGTTAATTTTGAAAATATTCCAAAACTAAATGAAGTTGAATCTAAAAATTTATAAGGGTTAGGCAAAACACTAAGAAATATGAACAAAATAGAAGTTCAGGCTCAGATAGTTTTACTGGGTTTTTTTGTTTGTTTTTTTGAAACATCTTTGTAATTTTATTGTCAGATCATTAAACTATGGGTACATACACAAGGAGAAATATCTATCACTTAACGTCAGGGCATAATAACTTATATTCCAAAAGATAATAAACCACGCCATTTTCTAAAAACAAAATGGAGGCATTTAACTTTACTGAATATTGTTTATAAAATAGCATCTGGGGCTATAGCTAATAAAATAAAAACTGTACTTGAAAAACTTATTAGTAATGACCAACTGGGATTCATAGCTGGCCGATATTCGGGTGAAAATACAAGACTTGTATATGATGGTATGCAGTACACAGAAGAAACTGATATCCCAGGTATGGTTTTGTAAAAGGAGCGGTTTTCCACTTTAAAACCAACACCCAGGTTCGGTGCTCTTGGATCCATTGGGGTCTTATAAATTGATGAACATGAAGTATGGCAAATGAACATAGACTCAAGGATATAAACTTCAGTATCTTTTATTAAACACAACAAGTGTGAAGAAATATCAGTACAATACACGATAACATATCTCACACCCTTACGCACACGATACAACACCGTTCATTAATACTAGTGGCTACGAGGCCTTCTCCTATAAGCATAGACGACGGACTCTACGTTGGAATTCTATATAGACATGTGTACAGACTACTTTCTAACCCTAACACTAAACATTATTGCTGGTCCTACATTATTACCTAACTAGTCTTAGAAAGAAGGAGCGAAAGAGTGAGTCAGGCAGTCTTACGAGGACTTTACTTCTGACTGACGAGCTATAGAAAACCACATAGACATATAGACAGACACACGGCACTTTGCACGTGCAATAGTCGCGCAAAATCTACTCGGAACACTTCCGGTTACGTAACTAGGTTCCGAATGTGAAAACAACAAGATGGACGACGAAAAGTGGTGAACTGTCAATCGTAAATATCGAATGTTAAGTATCCGAATTATCTCCACTTTTACAGTTTTAATGATAGATTTTGAGAAAGCATTCGATTCTGTCTCGTGGAAGTTCATTGATAAGGTATTGGGTTTCTTTGGGTTTGGTAATGTTATTTCAAATTGGGTGAAAGTTTCTCATAAAAATGTAGGGACATATGTAAATCAAGGTGGAGATCTTTCTAAATCTGTTAACATCAAGAGAGGATGTCGTCAAGGCGACCCGATCGCGCCATATATTTTTATTTCATGTGATGAAATCCTTGCTATCAGACTTAGAAATAGCAAAAACATAAAAGGTATTCGAGAAGATGATACTTTTATTATACTTTCTCAGTATGCAGATGATACATACTTGACATTAGATGGCTCAGAGCAGTCTCTTACAGCATCCTTGAATGAACTTAGTACCTTTGCAAATATATCAGGATTAGGGATGAATATTGATAAAACACAAATAATTTGGAGAAGCAGTAAAAAATATATCCAGGAAACATTTTTACCTGAAATACAGTTACAATTGGGGAAAGAGAAAATAACTTTGTCAGGAATTGATTTTAGTGTCAATCTTCAAGAAATGCTTAAGATGAACTTTGACAAAAAATTAGTGAAACTGAAAAGTCTTATTAATACTTGGAGCATGCAAAAATTAACACCGATTGGGAAAATTCACTTAATAAATCCTTAATGGATTCATAATTAACTCAATTCACTGCCTAACCCAGATGAAAAAAGTTTCACAAAAATGCATTTTTTACTTTATGCATTTTTATGGTATAATAAAACTGATTAAGTTAAAAGAGAGATTATTGTTCAGGATCATATGGTCGGTGGTTGAAAGATGCTTCATATTAAAAACTTAAGCTGGATAAAAAGATTATATTAGTCCTCGGGAAAGTGGAATACTATTTTAATGAAATTGGTTGACTTATATAAGCTACTTAATATTGGTGGGAATTATATTAAAGAGTGTCACAAAAAAATGTAATAATAATTTCTGGAAAGATGTCTTTGGGGCGTGGCATAGGCTAGAGTTTTCAGATGATATGAAGGCCCTCAAAGGGAAATCACTCTTGCAATAACAATTGGAGGCAGGTCAGTCTATTAGTCACAGTGGTATAAAAATGGTGTATATTGCATAGGTGACTTTATAAAGGATTTTAATACTTTAACTCTCTTTTCATGTAACGAATTTATTCAAAGATACAACATAAATACCAATTTTCTCAAATTTTATTGATTAGTGTCAGCGATTAGGAAATATTTAGAAGGTAGAGATAGGTGGGGAGAACCGTTTGATATTAATGATGATGACTGGGCCAGAATATACTTGCTGCCTTTCCAAGTTACTAAAAACTCCAAACTTCAGTGGTTACAGTTTAGAATCATCCATCATATTTTATCAACAAATTCATTTCTTTTCAAAGCACATATAGTAGTCAGTCCACTCTGCAACCTTTTTAATGCTGAATAGAAACCATTGAACACTTGCTCTGGGCACGTGAAAAGGTACAGAACTTAGTACAAAACTAAGATAGCCTGTTGGAAGCATTCTATATTCTTTTTACTCTAATATTTGGTAAGATTGATGATAATAACAACACTAATCATAAAGTGGATAATGAAATTATTGTAATCATAAAGCAGTACAAGCACAAAACAAGGTGTTTAGATCAGACACTGAATGCCAATACCGTGATTTATGCTGTTATGGATTATTTTAATGTGCAGAAATCTATCATTAGAACTAGTATGCAGAAATCTATCATTAGAACTAGTATGCAGAAATAGGTCTGCATATATTTTATGCAGTTCCTCTATCTTTATCTTATTTTTCTTTTGAAGACCTACACCTGTAAGTAGTAATATTTGGGACTTCCTTATATTTGTTCTATCTGTTTCTCTCGAGCACTAACATGCCTCCTTTTAAATGCATTTTAGTTTTCTTTTCTTTTCATATTTCTTAATTCTAATGACTGTAGTTTGTGTATTGTGTGTGTGTGTATGGGTGAGGGTACGACTGAGTGAATGTATGAGTATATTTTATATTTGAAATGTTACATAGGGCATGAAATATATCACTTAGAAGCTGTGTATGTACATGTGAATTTATGTATACAACATATAAATGGGTGATTTGAAATGCGAGTAAATTGTTTTGTTAATCTGGAATGATGATGCTATCATTATGATTATGATGTGAGAATGTGTGAATGTCCTGTTTATGTATATGTAATGAAACTCTTTGGAAAATAAAACATTAAAAAAAGAAGTTTTTTAGATAATTATATTTGTAAGATGAAATGGAACGATTTCATCAGAGATAATACATTTTTTATGTTAAACTTGAATACTTATATCAGAAAATTTAAAAATAAACACGAAATCGACAGCCTTTATTTATGTCAATATTATCATCACACAGTTAGCTATGTTTTAATATAAAGAAGTTCATTGCGACCTACATTTGCAAGTATAAGTTTATCAATGTTTTTATTTATTTATTTTCTTTATAACGACATAATTTGAATCTATAGATACAAATACAGAAAAACGACACAATCAACACTTTCATTTTAATAGTTCAAACAACGTTAACAGTGCTTGAAATGTATGTGTATGAAGTCCATTTTCTTTAAAATCCTCGTACTTCAAATTAATCTAGAATCCTGAACATTCTACCACATTAATACCATAATCGCCTTTTAATGACATTACTATGTAACCACACAGACCAGTAATTGGAAAACTATAATGTGAACACGTTAACAAATATTTATCCATAAATAATAAATACTTATCATCCTTTTTGAAGTAAAACGATGTTTTAATACAGATGAGGAGACCAATGACACCCGTACTTGGTGGCTAATACTTGGGATAGTATTAATGACGGGAATTGCAGGATTCTTCTTCGCCCGACCCTTCGACAATGGAGAGATTAACACGAACTTTGTACTTCTGGCCGGAGTAATCAACATCTTCATGGTACGTACCTTTTCTGTTGTGTGGTGTTTCTGTCCGATTCTCTGACCTTATATGAATGACAGCAATATACGATCTTACATGAGTTCAATTTTCAATTCATATCGTTGAAACGAGTCTAAGTTATATTGACCGTACTCTAGCAGTGTTACATAATACACTAACAGTACCATAAAGTACTCTAACAGTGCCATGAAGTTCTATAGCAGTATTACATAATATACTAACAGTGCCATAAAAAAACTCTAGCTGTGTTACATAATGCACTAACTGTGCCATAAAGTACTCTACAGTGTTATATAATACTCTAACAGTGCTTAACAGTACTGTAGCTGTGTTATATAATACTCTAACAGTTCCATTCAGTACTCTTCAGTGTTATATAATACTGTAACAGTTCCATACAGTACTCTACAGTGTTATATAATACTCTTGCAGTGCCATAAAGTACTCTTCAGTGTTTTATAATACTCTAACAGTGCCATACAGTACTGTAGCTGTGTTATATAATACTCGAACAGTGCCATAAAGTACTCTACAGTGTTATATACTACTCTAACAGTGCCATACAGTACTGTAGCTGTGTTATATAATACTCTTGCAGTGCCATAAAGTACTCTTCAGTGTTTTATAATACTCTAACAGTGCCATACAGTACTGTAGCTGTGTTATATGATACTCTAACAGTTCCATAAAGTACTGTAGCTGTGTTATATAATACTCGAACAGTGCCATAAAGTACTCTACAGTGTTATATACTACTCTAACAGTGCCATACAGTACTGTAGCTGTGTTATATAATACTCTTACAGTGCCATAAAGTACTGTAGCTGTGTTATATAATACTTTAACAGTGCCATAAAGTACTGTACAGTGTTATATAATCCTCTAACAGTGCCATAAAGTACTGTAGCTGTGTTATATAATGCTCTTGCAGTGCCATAAAGTTCTCTTCAGTGTTTTATAATACTCTAACAGTGCTATACAGTACTGTAGCTGTGTTATATAATACTCTTGCAGTGCCATAAAGGACTCTTCAGGGTTTTATAATACTCTAACAGTTCCATAAAGTACTGAAGCTGTGTTATATAATACTCTAACAGTTCCATAGTGTACTGTAGCTGGGTTATATAATACTTTAACAGTGCCATAAAGTACTGTACAGTGTTATATAATACTCTAACAGTGCCATAAAGTCCTCTACAGTGTTATATAATACCCTAACAGTGCCATACAGTACTCTACAGTGTTATATAATACTCTAAAGGTGCCATAAAGTACTCTACAATGTTATATAATACTCTAGCAGTGCCGTACAGTACTGTAGCTGTGTTATATAATACTCTTGCAGTTCCATAAAGTACTGTAGCTGTGTTATATAATCCTCTAACAGTTCCATAAAGTACTGTAGCTGTGTTATATAATACTCGTGCAGTGCCATAAAGTACTATTCAGTGTGTTATAATACTCTAACAGTGCCATACAGTACTTTAGCTGTGTTATATGATACTCTAACAGTTCCATAAAATACTGTAGCTGTGTTATATAATACTCTTGCAGTGCCATAAAGTTCTCTTCAGTGTTTTATAATACTCTATCAGTTCCATAAAGTACTGTTGCTGTGTTATATAATACTCTAACAGTGCCATACAGTACTCTACAGTGTTATATAATACTCTAACTGTGCCATAAAGTACTCTACAATGTTATATAATACTCTAACAGTGCCATACAGTACTCTACAGTGTTATATAATACTCTAAAGGTGCCATAAAGTACTCTACAATGTTATATAATACTCTAGCAGTGCCGTACAGTACTGTAGCTGTGTTATATAATACTCTTACAGTGCCATAAAGTACTGTAGCTGTGTTATATAATACTCTAACAGTGCCATACAGTACTCTACAGTGTTATATAATACTCTAACGGTGCCATAAAGTACTCTACAATGTTATATAATACTCTAGCAGTGCCATACAGTACTGTAGCTGTGTTATATAATACTCTAACAGTTCCATAAAGTACTGTTGCTGTGTTATATAATACTTTAACAGTGCCATAAAGTACTGTACAGTGTTATATAATACTCTAACAGTGCCATAAAGTACTCTACAGTGTTATATAATACTCTAACAGTTCCATAAAGTACTGTTGCTGTGTTATATAATACTCTAACAGTGCCATAAAGTACTCTACAGTGTTATATAATACTCTAACAGTTCCATAAAGTACTGTTGCTGTGTTATATAATACTCTTGCAGTGCCATACAGTACTCTACAGTGTTTTATAATACTCTAACAGTTCCATAAAGTACTGTTGCTGTGTTATATAATACTCTAACAGTGCCATAAAGTACTCTACAGTGTTATATAATACTCTAACAGTGCCATAAAGTACTCTACAGTGTTATATAATACTCTAACAGTGCCATAAAGTACTCTACAGTGTTATATAATACTCTAACAGTGCCATAAAGTACTCTACAGTGTTATATAATACTCTAACAGTGCCATAAAGTACTCTACAGTGTTATATAATACTCTAACAGTTCCATAAAGTACTGTTGCTGTGTTATATAATACTCTTGCAGTGCCATACAGTACTCTACAGTGTTTTATAATACTCTAACAGTTCCATAAAGTACTGTTGCTGTGTTATATAATACTCTAACAGTGCCATAAAGTACTCTACAGTGTTATATAATGCTGTAACAGTGCTATAAAGTACTCTACAGTGTTATATAATGCTGTAACAGTGCTATAAAGTACTCTACAGTGTTATATAATGCTGTAACAGTGCCATAAAGTACTCTACAGTGTTATATAATGCTGTAACAGTGCCATAAAGTACATATCATGTTTCAATATAGATATTGTAAGAGAATATGAATGATTTTGTTTAAGAGTGACTTTTGTGAGATAGTAATTATGATTATCTTTTATTGTGACGTCATTGCAATTCGTAAAGTTTTGTTCATGATTAATTTTCACTGTGACGTCAATGTTATTTGTGATTTTTTTAGTGCGTTACGTTCTTGCAAAAGTTAAGTTCAAATGTTTATGAAGAAAAAGATAAAATGGGCAGCATTTCTTTCCCCGAAACAACAGGGGTATTTTCATGATGAGTGTATGATATATCATTGTTCAAATTGAATATTGCAGGTGAGTGTAATTGGTATGGCGTTGTGGCGATTCTACACCACTGCCTGGGAGGAGAGGATCGTCGTGACCAGAAAATATGTCGTAAGTTTCTAACACATTATTAAGACGAGTACTTAAAAATATCGGTGACCTTTAGTACATGTAGCTACGATGTCTGTCTGTCTTTTTGGTATCCGTATCACTAGCTCCTTCCATACATTTGCGTATTCCTATCTCAGAATCAGGAATACTTAAATCGCGCCTTTTGGCGTACTGTAATATAAACGAAGATGTGCAATAAAGGTTTGATTAGTTCCTAAAGTCAATGTCATTGGATATGAGCAGGGTAAATAAAGTGAGGCTCTGTAGTTTAACACATCGCAAACAGGCGACAGGCCTAAACGTTTAAGTGTTTACACCCCTCGTTTAACATCAAATCGGCATATCTAACATTATCTCCGTATCTTGTGCATTTCATCTCAAATACAAATCCTTTGATATACTGTGTTTGCACTACAATCAATTTATATTGAAGATGGCGTAATATACACACGCGAAAAATATGGAGTTATTTCCCTTTGAACGTAAGCTCTTCTGTTCAGCTAATGTTACACGTAAAGTAAACGTTGAAGCAATACAGACTTTTAAACAAATAAGTTAAATATTCTGCAGTAACATATTTTTGTTTCGTATATTGAGGGATTGTTGAAGGCCTTTGATAAGCCAGACTTTTCCCAACGAGGATATTTTCCCAATTTGAATGCTTAAGGTGGCTCGACACATCGTCATCAGCGTCCATTTTCGTGACGTACTTCCGGAAAAAGTACAGCTCGGACCCAATTATCTTGATCGAAATGTGCATGTACACCGTGTCATCATTTCCGTATTGCGTATCGGGCATTCAATATCGTAGTGCAAATTATAGTAACTCCTTGGCCGTTTTCGTTTAAACGGTCAAACCGATCGGAACACTGTTGTTCGTTTATTAAATAATGTCGGACCTAGTAATCTGATGCTGCTTTCAGGCGAGCCGTGAGAAAGCCTCGCAAGGCCTGCATACACATTTGCAGGTCCGCCAGAATTTATACCCGAAATTGTTACATTTATAAACGGTCAAACCGGTTGCTCCGCATAAACGAACAGGCCCATGGTAAACTATAGTAGATTCCTACCCCGACCCTCCTCAACAAGAACACCGACACGATCCCACAACCCGTATCAGAACTCTAGCCTCTCAACACGGTCAACGTACATCCAACAAACCCAAACCTAAGCCTGATACTACAGCCTCATTCACTTCAGCCAACCGATTTGACTCTCTTTCCCAAGTTAAATAATTATGTGACCTTATATTCAGTATTATGTTTGACTAAATATCAGTCTTTGTTTTATGAATTTGATGAATATTACTATTCTGAGTAGGCTACATGTATATGCTGATGACATGGAACTTGTATTTTGACAAATGAAGATACGCTATACAAAAAACACAAGTACATGTATATTTACTATATTTTGTGTATTAGTATTACTGTAATTTCAATGTGTGTGCTGAAGTATACAACACATACTTCAGCAATTATGCATTTATCTTTGTTTATAATGAAATCTATATATAAATATATA